AAAAAAGAAAAGATAGTCCCTACAAACAAGCAACACTCCTTGTGTTCATGAGGTTTGTTATTTTTACTTCCAGAGTGTTTGAAATTTTCTTGCAAATGAATAAGACAAGAATTAATTTGTTGGTCTTTTTACTGATTGAATGATTCAGCATTTGTATTGTATATGTGCCCTTCATTTTAGCTTAGAGCATTCTAAACTTTGGTTCTCTGGGTGCATTTCAATGTTGAAAAAGAAAACGGAAGTGGAAGTTTTGGCCAAAGATACTTTTAACAAAAGGCCTCATATTATAAAAAATATATATACCAATGTAGTACTCTTTTTGCACACCCAACAGGAAGAGTGGGTGGGAGGAGGGGGGAAGGGGGTTGTTGTTGTTGGGTTTTTGCTTGATTTGGTGATGTAGAGCACAAAAAGAGCTTATGAAATATACCAAAACCTTTGTTGGATGGAAGAGGGTAGTGGGAGGCTGCAACTGAGAGGGAATAAATCAAGAGCTTAATCTCAAAATCCTAACTAAAGTAACCTCATACGTTAACCAAATTCCCCCGATGGATTTAGATTTGCTTTGTCTTGTTTTGGAGCTCATCCACAAAACAGAGAAAAGAAACACTTTAGTCTTTGTTTCCAGTTTCATCAAAACCTGTTTGTTCCACAAAAGTTAGTCCCTTGACCTTAGAATGATAACTCTAAGGTTAATTCAAGCCCTCTGACTTTTGTAACAAGCTCCGGGTTATTGGAGACTAATTAACTGATCTATATTTAGAGCAACATTGAACGTGTTAGGAGACCGAGTGTAGCTTTTATCAGTTTTGTTAAAGCGGGGTTATCGGCGTCACTGCTATTTTCTTGTTAATAACAAGCTCTTAGCTGCTATTTTCTTGTTAATTACAAGCTCTTAGCTGCTAGGGGTAATGACAGTCTTTATCTTTGAGATGTTTAGCTACAACTTTTTCTTAAGCATTTCATCAATGGATCAATCTTTAATCTTGATGAGTTGAAAATACCTGCATATCATATTTTAACCTTTAGATCCCACTTATGTATTATAGAAGATAGCAGAATCTGATATATTGTAATTCTATAGTTTGCAGTTGGTGTTAATACGGTTGAAGAATGGCTCTTGCCCCTCTTTCAAACTTTCTCGCCAACCATGAAACCATCAGATATTATGTCAGGTCAAAGCTTCCCGGTCATAAAAGGTTTAGCTGGGGTTGGGAAGATTACTTTGGTAATATATTCGTAGCGAAAATTTGTTCCAGCAGACGGATACCTAGACACTTTAGAAAATCTCCTAGAATATGCTGCAGTTTGGATTCAAGAAGTCTGCAACTATTGTCACACGGGAAACACAATCTCTCTCCCGCACATAGCATTAACCAGAGTGTATCTAAGGTGACTTTTGATAACCTTAACTACTTATTTCTGAAGGGAATGTGGGGATCTAGCTCTGTCCTCTGCATTCTTTTCATCCTCTTCTTTCTCTTTCCTAACACGAGTCCTCTTTTAGGGAAATTCAGGAAGCAAATTTCCAAAAGATGTAGCTTTGATGGTTTGGGAGAAATGGGGCCAATTTGCCAAAACAGCAATTGTAGCTATATTCATTTTGTCAGTAGCTTCAAAAGCTGATGCGGTTGATGCTCTCAAGACTTGTACTTGCTTACTGAAAGAGTGCAGGTAATTCGTGCAGATGTTACTAGAGTATGCCAGATTTTTTCCTTATACTAAGCTATTACTAATATATTTTGCTGCACAAGTATCAAGACTAGTTTCTTCTACAAAACAATGAATTTGATAAGAAGATGTCAGTAAACAACTTAAAGCTTTCCTGATTCCTTTGCTACCCCTTGTATGTTTCCTACATGAGTTTCGAACTTGATTTCTTCTATCCCATGTATAAATATAAGGATGTGAAATTGATTCTTCTTTGTTCTCTCAGGATTATCATCCTGGCTTAAGAATGAAGTTGCAAAGATGTAAAATTTTCAGTTTCGGCGGTTCTATCTTATCTTAACCTGCTCACCTTGAAAGATGTCAGGTTGACCAAACTGTCTCTAGATTTTTCTGGTCAACCGTCCATAACTCCTCGACTCTAATCGCTGTTACAATCAAAGAAATCAAGTTTTAAGCATGTTCAAAGTGTATCATAATCTCAACCATAATGCTTTTCTTTCTACCTCCATTTTGATTGTGAGACTTAGATTTTCTGTTATGTAATTAGGCCAAGAAAATAGTAGTATGAGTTTGCCTTGTTAACAAATTTCGTCAAACCATTTGTTTTTTTTTATGGTGGTAAAAATAACTGATGTGTTGCTGTGCTAGGGATGCAGGATACCCCTTCTAAAATATTTGCATCCCAAAGGATGCAATGGTTGAAAACTAAACTAAGTTAACATCGTTGTCTAATCCTTAATCTATGGCTCTTTGATATTCTAGCAGCTTTTCTGTTATATTTTCTTTCTGTTTTTTCTTCAAATCCGTTTAGTTGTGACTTGTTTGCTTATTTTGTTATCCACCTTCTGATGTGAGAGGAAGGAGAACTAGATGGCAAAATGATAGGAAATCTCATAGAAGAGAAATGCTATATTAGTAATTATGAGTTTCTAACCTTCGTTTCAGGCCTCTCTACTCCCTCGGGGTAGGGGTAAGGTCTGCGTACTCACTACCCTCCCTAGACCCCACTTGTGGGATTTCACTGGGTTGTTGTTGTTGTTGTTGTTGTTGTTGTTGTTGTAATCTTCATTTCAGCATGTATGTCAGCACTCTTGTGAGACTAAGAAAAGTATTATGCTTTCAGGTTAGAGCTTGCGAAGTGCATTGCAAACCCTGCATGTGCAGCTAATGTTGCCTGTCTCCAGACATGCAACAATAGACCTGACGAAACGGAATGTCAGGTGTCTACAAATTTCTTATTAAACTCAATATTCTTGTGATCACATTTGTAGTGTACTAATATGCTGGAGTGATTCTGCAGATAAAATGTGGTGATTTGTTTGAAAACAGTGTCGTAGACGAGTTCAATGAGTGTGCAGTCTCCCGAAAGAAATGTGTACCTCGTAAATCTGATGTTGGTGACTTTCCTGTACCTGATCCAAGTGTTCTTGTCCAGAAGTTTGACATGAAAGATTTTAGCGGGAAATGGTTCATAACTCGCGGTTTAAATCCCACTTTTGATGCTTTTGATTGTCAATTGCATGAATTCCATACAGAAGAAAACAAACTTGTGGGGAATTTATCGTGGAGAATACGGACACCTGATGGAGGATTTTTTACTCGATCAGCGGTGCAAAAATTTGTGCAAGATCCAAAGTATCCAGGGATACTCTACAATCATGATAATGAGTATCTTCACTACCAAGATGACTGGTATTTCCCTAACTACCTATTTAACATCGTGTCTCCATACTGGATTAAACCTTGCTGATAGATAAATATCTGGGGGGGGGGG